TCTGTGACGGTGACGGTGACGGTGTGTTTGTGTGTCTGTGACGGTGATGGTGTGTTTGTGTGTCTATGTGTATGTGTGGCTGTGTATATGTGCTTGTGTGCTTGTGTGCTTCTTTCATATATATGTACATAAACAGTATGGTATTGAATGGTTATTGGTTTTTTATTCGATGTTATGTCAATCTCTATTGTTGAACCATCTTATCTGACCTAAATATACACTTCGAGTACGTCTCCTCAATCATCATTATTTCGTGCATGCCCCCACTGTTCTATCGAATCTGTCTATCCCAGATGAGTTTCAAATACAAGTACATAGTACTACCTAAACGGCTGTTCTATCGTTTCTGTCTATCCCAGATGAGTATTAACTCTAAGTATATAGTACTACCTGAACGGCTGTTCCATCAGAACAGTACTCTTTTTCATTGAGATGAGCTCAATGTCTGTCGTCGTATCTACAGTTGTAGCAGTGAGGTTTGTTGGTAGATAGGTTGATTATCCGACATTTCTATTGTCATGATCTGAAGCCCATCACCGTGTTGCTTATAGGTGTTGTTGTGTATTGTGATGTCTGTGCGTGTCTCCTTATGTATGTTCTGCTTCCAGACATATGTGCTTGTATTCTCACCGTTTATCTACCCCCCCCATGGTAAATATCCGTCGTGTGCCGATGTGTTCTATGTGCGTAGCGTCTACAGCACAACCTCCACCCCGCCCCTAAACCTCAAAACCTCCACCCATCCACCCACCCATCTCCTCCACCCCCCCCCCCCCTCTCTAAAAACTACATCTATAGTGAAATGTCACTCCTCTTTAATTGTCTGCTACAGCAACTGGGACCCGTCCGAGCGCCGGAACAGTCGCACAGACATGCCCAGTGACAGCCACACAGACGACCTAAGTGTCAGACAGCCGAAGCGACGCGGACGCAGCAGCACCCGCGACTACGAGGACTTTGACCTGAGCCCGAAACCCCACAGCCACAGCCACACCCACCGCTCCAGCAAACGGACCGGTTCGCACCGGGACTCCAAGGGCCACAAGGACAAACGCGACCGAGATAGTGCCGGGACTGATCTGAACGGCAAGCACGGGAGAGACAGGGCCGGAGGACAGGTGCATGAGGGCATGGGGGTAGATATGGCGGGTGGGGCAGGGGGTGGGCCACGGTCTGGGCGACGGCGCAGTAGTCGCGGGGAGGGAGAGGGCCGCAGCCGTAGCAAGGACAAGCGCCAGAAGCGTAGCAAGCAGCGGTGATAGGGGGTGGATCAGAGCGGTTAGGTGCGTGGGGGGGGGGGGGTAAGGGGGTATGGTGGGGTGCACGAGTAGCTTAGTAGCGCATGGGCAAGTACTATAGAGACGAGTGCCCATGTGTGGTAAGTAGGTAGGTAGGGATATCTACGGGCTGTAGGAGCGCGTGTGCTTGTACTGCAAGAACGTCGGGATTTGTGAAGTGAGGACTTTTGGGCCCATTCCCGAGGGGAAGCTTCCGGATAGGGTGAGATGGGGGAGAGGGGGGGGGGTAGGGTAGATGCGGGACTAGCTCAAAACACACTAGAAGCCGTGATGAAGGTGGTGGGTAGATGGATATGTTTGTGTATACATGGGCAGAAGCATGTGCGGTGGTAGGTATATGTATGTCATGTGTGTGCGCATACCTACCGCAAGGACGAGTGGATCAGTGCGAGTGGTCAGTGGAAAAGTGAAAAGATGGGACGGGCAAAGTGTAGGCCAATTCAGAGTAGCCGGTCGGTGTACATCCGAAGGCGTTGCCTAGCAACTACATGCCTGAAGCCGCTTCGATTGAACCGCCAACCCACTCGACAGGAATGTAGGGTACGCTTACAGGCACTCGAATGGATGTGCTCTGCACCTTTATCTACCTGAATGCATGTGTCCCTGTATAGAGCATAGAGCAATACACCTACCACATAGAAAAAGCTCGTGCGCTTCACGGTGTAGGTAGGCTCGGTATAAGTAGGCATATGAGTGCTGCGTCTGAGGCCCATGGGTGATAGCATATCACCTGTAGGAGGCGTGTCGACAGACTCGGGTGACATCAGTCTGTTGGCGGGGCTATGCGTATATGGGTACTTGATACCAATCACCACAACCCCCCAGTCTGTGAACCCCAAGAAGCCTGTAGATGAATAGAGGCTTGGGAGCATGCCGCAATGCGCATCCGCCTATGTGCACGCTGTATAGTAGACAAATAGGGAGGAGTCCTAGACGAGAGAGGTATCACTTAGTAGGCGATCATTAAGTGCTGGAATGCGTGCGACCGCGTATCAAAAGAACTATCGTGTGGGATCAGTTCGGTACATGGGAGCCATACCTGAGAAGTGGGCACGTATTTGAGAAGTTGCTGTGGATGTGGATGGTTACCGCACTGTGGGGGAAGTGCTATGGCTAGCGTCTCCGAGCCCTCCAGCAAAGTACCGAACTTATGCAAAACTTCACATTCGCTAGACTACTTGCACAGTTGCACGCTCCGTAAGCTTAACGTTTTCATCCCGCCTAGAGTGATAGCCCAAAGCGACACCGCCAAGGTTTCCACTGACCACGCCTATACTAACCTTCAGTCCAACCACACGGTCTCCACTAACCACGCCTATACCAACCTTCAGTCCAGCCACTGAGATCTGCTTAGTCGGCTGTGTGATAGACCCGCGTGTTTGGGTCTCTATAGCGACGGTACAGACGTTGGCAGTGCTCGACACCCCACTGCCAGTGCAATAAACAAGAAATTGCAAGTTAAATACTAGAAGTGTGATGTGAGATAGGACCAGGTGGCCTCGATTCATGCGGCAAGGCTTGCACCATCCGGCGTGCAGTATGTAGCGGATCAGACGATTCGTTCTTTAAACACAATGAAACACATTGAAATACCACAAAATTTATGCAGTATATGTGCTTGGGCCAAATGACCCCTTAAACTCGTTTTATGTTTATACAAGATGCGTCTATGGTAATGTATAGAAGTCCATGTTAGAAGATACTCACGTACATTAGAGGATGGGACTACTACAGCCCTTTTTGTGATGACTATAGCTTTTGAAAGGATTGCCACAGTAGTTATCTATGTATCACCACAAAACCTCACCAACCAGAATATAGAAATGAGATGCGTCATGCGACGCACCCTACAAGCACTACAATAGACACTCACAATATGAACAGATCAAAGCAGGCAGAACAACCAAGGACTGCTCCATCCCATACACCCCCCCCCCATTAACACTAAGAATCACAGGTTCAACAATGCACACGTGCATAGGCGCTTCAAGCTGTCTAGTATGAAAGACCAAAGCTTTCGTAATAAACTCCCGTGTTTTTAAAAGTGCAACATGCACACCACCACCCACTCCACCCATTCACACAGATTTGCTATACCCTGGATGATAGCGCCGGCTTTTGACAACTACTATACGAGGAATACGTCTCTTTGACGAAGTCTTCCATTACCGCGGCGCTGTGGCCGGCATCTCTTTGATCGCTATATTCCCCTTAACTACGACAGTGATGTCGTCCATGGGTGAGAGGTAATAGTATCTTTGTGATAGTGTACGTCTGCGATTTGCTTTCTAAGCCTCCACAACGGCGTTCAGATTCAGGCACAGCACTCTATAGAATACGTCAGCAATTCTATGTATATAGAACACAGTTATCTTCTCATGTGTCAGTTCAGCCTGTTGTATGACACTTGAGATGCCCTCTTCTCATTATCCGCCAACCACTAGATCCGTTGTCGTCACATCCCACGGCAAGTGTTCGTGTTGTGTGAGGTACATATGGCGGGTCAGACACTCTTTCTCCCAACTCAGTGCTGATGCGTTCTCTTCTTATTTTATTGAGCGAAGACTATGTAGCTATAGACGGATGCTTCACCTGTTGCATCTCTGGGCTGTGGCCTGTGACTGTGAGTGACTGTGACGCTGTGAGACTCGTGACTGTGTCTATTCTTCGAATTCACACGATGGACACTTTGAAAAGACAGCCCGCCAAAACTATGTCCAAATCAGGAAGTAGTGTTTGGTGTTTTTAAAAAAGGTCCAGTGACAACTGAGTACAGTCATACATCTATTATTGTCCACCTCTATTGTTGTTCACCTCGAATTTTGTTCAATTTTTTTCAGACGGACCCACTATTTTATGTCCTATATAAACTATATAGGATGTAGACGGACAATCTGCAAACCTCTTAGATGCTGCTCGTATCATACACGATATATGGGAAACTACACTGCTAAATGCATTGCCCATTGCTGGCTGAAATCAACTTGTCTTCCGGAGGGCAACCTGATAAATAATGCCCCCGAGTATGCGAAGAGAATCACATCTAGGGAAGAAAGCGAATTCATTGATCTCACAGCAACGTTCAAGTCATATTGTATGATACTTAATCCCGACGAGCCCATAACATCCACACTGAGAACCGAAGTGAATGATTGGGTTGATGAATCAACCAAAATGCAACTATCGAATATCGAAGAGATACTATCATATGAGGTGCTGGAGCTAGAAGTTAAGAAGGAAATATACGATGAGTGTGATGAAGACAGTGAAAGGTTCAGTTTTGACCTCATGAAGTCTTGTGAATACGATCGCGCAAAGAGTGTCAAAACAATACAAGCAATTGTAATGTTGTAGGTGCAGTACAAATCAACATAAACCTGAAAAACAGGTCCCAGGCGGCCAGGCCCCATATGACCTTCATTGTCTACCTCTATTTTTGTCTAATTTTGGTCGAAATCGGACCCTAGACAATAACCCAAGTTTGACTGTACTGATGACAACTCACAACTGACAAGTCCGTTGACTCGACCTTGTCTTGAGAGTTTATTTTTATCGATGATAAGTCCTCAATAGATATTTAAATACCGTACATATGAGGACTCGAGTGACGACTGACAAGTGACGCGTCTTACTCGAGAGTCGCGGCCTTGAAGCTTTGAGGCAGGATGTAGCCGTCAGGAGATGTGGGTGAACACCGAACACTGAACAGAGGTGACCGGTGAGTGGGGTGACTTGAGGTCTTTTGTAAAATGTAACGGAAAATAGTCGGTAAATATCTGCGAATTTGACGACTGACAGTTGTATTTAAAAATATGTAAATATGATTCAAAAAATGTCCAACTCATGATGTCTTAAATATGCAGTGTACAGTGTGTAATGTACAGCTCAAATTCAAATATGTATAGAATATACTATATACTACTAATCACATATAGCCTCTATAAAAAGTCATATGGGGAGAATATACCGATGCTCAGATAATCATTTATGAAACAAGGTCATAATTAGGTATCCCGTCGTATTTGTTCACAAATACTTACCCTGACACTTACACGAGTAGATACGTGCGTAGAATTGTAGCACTAATATGCGTAGCTGAGACTGCAATTTCAGCGATACTGATAAACAAATACACTTCTGAGCGTCGCACCTCATCTTAACCGCTAAAAAGTAAAATAAAAATGGGAATTGTGACGTATTTGTTATATTAAAACTTGCAGTAAAACTGAAATATTCCGATTTTGGAGTGGCATACGGCAACCAGTGTTGTTGTTCACATGTATACAGGGCAGTAAGCAAAAAGACCGATATTTTTCTTTCAGTAGATTACATTTTCATAATATAGTTATAATCCTAATGCTACAATCCGTGACGTACAACAGTTGGGGACGAGTCCAAAAGTTGTATATAGATTACAATAGAATGGACCATATGTAAAACTTGTTCTTCCGCCTTGACAGCAATTTCTATAGATATATAGCAAGAAGGTGGCATTAGTACTCGGAAGGACAAGCTCTGTATAGAAAATAACTGAGCTTTCGTTTTCCTTTCTTCCGATTACAGATACAACATTCTACTAAATTATAGAATATACGTATACAATCGGTATACTTCACAAATCGGCTGGGCTCGAGCTGGCGTATCGCACGATAGTCGATGACTGATGAGCCTACGTGATCACCCATTCCGGTGATTCGTCCGACCATCTATGAGCGTATAGAAGAAGTATCCGTGAAATCGTAAGAAATTGATTGGTTTGTATAAAATTGCACAGGCACAGTGCGAGTGCGGTTGGAACTTGGAACTTGGAACTTGGAACTTGGAACTTGGAACTGGAACTATTTTATATATATAAAAAACAAATATATAGAGCCCCTCGCCCCAGGCCTCCAAGGGGCCAAGGCCCAGGGCCCAGGGCCCTAGGCCCCGCGAGCCCTGCCTGGAGCTATTTACCCCAATGAACCACAGTACCGCACCCAAGTCCCGTGCTATAGATATAAATATATCGTTTTAGGAATAAACAAGCTGTATTAGGCAAAATATAATTTTAACAGATCTTGATCCTTCCTTCGTGCTGCCTGTGAGTCATCATGAATACTATTTATATCAGTTGCCCTGATTTGGTCGAAAATAGGCATTTCCGGGCCAGAAAGCTCCTGTTTGGTGTATTGACAGTGATCTGATTGCTGATGATATATATATATGAATGATGCGTATTTACATCGATAGATATTTTATTTACATTATTTACCGTATTATAATATTATATATAAATATAAACAGACTTTTAAAAGGCAGCTCGAAGCTTGCACGTACATAGACACACAATAAGACAACAAACACATAAGAACATCATGTCAGCACCGCCGAAACCGGCACCACGGCCACAGCCAGCTGCTCGCCCAGGGTCCACATCACCAGCCAACCAAGTCAAACAACCTCCACCCCCAGTCAAATTTGCCAAAGACAAACGAGAGGGCGAAACACAACCGTTGCCTAGTACACCACCTCCGACTTCCCCTACTTTGAAGGTAAAGTTATCATCTCTAGTATAGTCGTTGGACTAATGTTTGTTTTTGGTCGTGTAGTGCTATTTTGATATATATATATATATATATATATATAACACACACGCACACACACACACACACACACACACACATATATATATATATATATATATATATATATATAAATATATATATATATGTATGTCTGTATGTATGTATGGGTGTAATAATGTATATATATATATATATGTATATATATGTATGTCATATGTATATACAAATTTATATATATATAAATAAATATATCTTGTATCGATCTTTATATATATATGTATATTTTGGAAATAATTGAA